GCTTGTGCACCCATTGTCTTCAGTGACTTCAGGTGTTATATCTTTTGGTAGCCAAGCATCATCCGCTTTCTTCACCACATTTTCTTGTGCACCCATTGTCTTCAGAGATCATGCCAGGCAGGTGAGCATCTCAGACTGCCTAATTGTTAGAACAAAAGGCTTCACATTCTTGTTCCAAAGACTTAACACCAAAAGTTAGTTGAGATTCTGTCAAGCTATTTAACAAAGATTAGGTAGAAGAAAATATTTTAAGAAGAAAAAACATCCAAATTTGGTTAATGAGGGAAACTTCTGGGTGAACAAACTTGAAAGCAGTCAGATAAGCCAGCTGGAGGGAAAGTACTGCAGCCACATAAGTTCAGTTTATTGATGGTTCTCCTGACATAAAGCTAGCCTCAAATGTGCAATAGAGAATCTTAAGCGCGCGATACAAGACTAACTAGTTGAACCAGTGACAGGGCCATAGATGTTGACTCCTGGCAATCCCATGCTGTCAGAGTCGAATGGTGATCCCCAGGATTTGCAGGGCTTCATTCTCAAGTACTTCCCAGTGGAATCACACAACCGCCCTGTCAGTTAGCAGCCCGGTGCTTTAGTAATTTGCCCCACCCAGGAACTCCATTGCAAGAGTGGTGGACCTTATCAGGAAGGCAAATAATTTTGCGCTATTACTCCTAACGTCAATGAAAAAGGAAAGAACCAGAACAATCCAGGACGTCAGATGTCCCCTCAGTTCCCCTCTGACCCTGCTGATGAACTCCTTGAGCCCAAGGATAAACATGATTTTGACCTTTGCCCTCATCAGTTAATGTCGAGTATTTTAAAACTTTACATAAATGTATATTTTGTACCTAGCTTCTTTTGTGTGATTATAAGATTCATACATGCCAGTTTGTGTAATAGTCATGTTTGCATTTTTATTTCTCGTTACTACATCTCGGCTCATTTATGAATATATTACACTGTTAGCCAGTCTGCATTTGATGAGCATTGAGGTCGTTTCCTAAAACAGAGGTAGTACTTCTCTTAGAGGGGCAGCAAAACAGAAGGCCCTCAACCGGCTGGACTGACATAGTGGCTGCAAGTATTGGTTCAATCATAGGGTCGATGATGAAGATGGTGCTTCCGGCTCTTGTGCATAAGGTCGCGAGGGGGCTGCTCTTGACGTTCTTGTCCATGTCTTCTGGTGAATCTGTCTGGTGCACACCTAGAAACGGAATTGGTCAGTCACAGAGTATGGGTTTGCTTCGTTTGGGTAACGCCAAGTCATTGCTGGAGTGTTCGGCCTAGAGAAAGTCTTTAAGGCGAAACCCGATTGCTCGGAATGTGCCACTCCCGTGTTTAACCGTGTCGTGCGAACCCACATTGTGGGCCATTGTACAATTGCTGAATAAGGAAAATGAAATGCTAAAGATGAACATGACTGGTGGTTGGTCAGCCAGTGTTTACTGAAAAAGTCCGAGGCTAGGACTGAAATAGCATGCCACTGCAGGAATCATGGGTCGTTCAGTGCTAGCAGGTGGTGAGTAGCAGGGCATGGGAGACAAGGCATCTGGCATATGAAGATTTAGGGAAGAACAAAAAAATTATGGAGCGCATGGGATGCTATGTAAAAGGGGGAGGGGGATTAATGTTAGGGTAACTTGCAGTCACCAAAGGGTAGCATCTGTTATTTTCCATTTAAAAGAAATGATTTCCAGAAGGAAAAATCACAGAGTCCATATATTTTACATCTAGGAAGCTGGCTTCCGTACTTTGAGGTCCAGTCTTGTTTAGAACTATACTTGTGTTAACATCACATTATGCTTCTTTCCCTTTTTACATCCCAGGATCAAACACGTATGAAGAGGCAGCTGCATACATTCAGTGTCAGTTTGAAGACCTCAATAAAAGAAAGGACACAAAGGAAATCTACACCCACTTCACCTGTGCCACGGATACCAAGAATGTGCAGTTTGTCTTTGATGCTGTGACCGATGTCATCATAAAAAATAATCTAAAGGATTGTGGCCTCTTCTAAGTTTTCCAGTCAACGATAAATTCCATTTTCAAACCAAATGAGTACTTATATGTGGATCTCTCTAGACTAGAGTCTTGCAGCAACACAGAATGTAGTATACAGCCAATGCCTCTGGGGCCTGACCAAAGTTGTTTTGTGTTGTTTTTAACTGAAACTAAGAGAAGGATCCTTCTGAAAAGTGACAGGTGGTCCTGCAGTGTGAAACTGAAGGACAGTGTTAACGCTGGGCTCTAGTGTATTGATGATTTCTGCGTAAGTGTAAATATGCAAATGTACGTATACATGTATTTATAAGTTTAGTTTTTCACATTACTTTTAGGTTTTAAGAATGACAACTTCAGATTCTAGTGTGAGTGGTTTGGGAAATAACAGAAATACTGAGTATACCTGTACTGAATGACAGACTATTATGTTTGCCAATTTTAAACAACTTTATTTATGTTCATGTCCTGTACATTTTTAAGTACAGTAATTAATATTAGGAAGTATTACATACCTTATCTTGATTATATGTATACTTGTAATCATGAAAGTGTTATATGTAAAAGCATTGCACACAAATTATTTTAATAACATGATTTGTTGGTTACATTTGATGTATCTTATTGTGATGTTCCCAAGAGGACGATTGTTCCTGCCTTTAGATCCATTATCATTGTCTATGTTTCTCTTTTTCTTTTATTTTCAGAGAGCATGCTGCTTTAGTTCTCTTCTTATTGGGTTCATAAAATTAAGAGTTCAGATATTGGAGGAGACACTAACTTAAACTTACGGTGTAGTCAGTGTTTATTCAGCTTGTTTGTTTTCACTTGGAAGTTTAATATTAATTTGGGTGATATATTCGCATTGCCTTAAAGGTAATGCCAAGATTAATTTTTATACTGTTTGAAAGATTACATTTTTATTTAAAACTGATCAGTTGGCTGTTGAGAGTTTACTGTGGGCAAAAAAATTAAAATGTCAGCTAATGAACTTTGAGACATTCATTTGTGTATTTCCTTTGGGAAATCTCTTGTACCTAGCATACATGATAGTTCCTTGTTTGGAAAATAGCAAGAAAGTTCTTTGAATAAACCTACTGCTGAAATAATTGAAGCTTTAAATTCACATATGTAACGATTTTCAAATGTGATTATCACACTATCTTAAAATTACTTTCTTCCCTTGCATAGATTATTCAAATTTCCCCCACATGCTTGAGTCTGTATTATTTCTTTTGATCTGTGCTATTATTTCTGAGGAATGGAATGGGCAATTACACTTAGAAAGTGAGTAATAGTATTTAACACAGTCAGTGATTATATGTATGCTCAAATAAATGTTACACATTAGCTAGATATTGAACTTTAATAGAGTCATTTTTCTTTTGAGTATTCATGATGTCTCTGTGACCTTCCTTCGGCAAAATTAGCAGAGTTTCTGACCTTGCCCCACCCTTCAAAACAAAACAACTCGTTTTTAACAGACGAGTAAGCTTGACTGTAAGTAGTTTTTAAGTTTATGCGCTGTCCTTTTGTGTGTTTTCAAGTATGTGTGTGTGTACGGGCTTGGGAAGGGTGGGGGTAACCATAAACTGCATTTATAGCTGTTTTATTTGAGGGATTTTTTTTTCTGTAATGTAAACAAATTCAGAGTTATCAAAATTTCCTAAATGTGTTTAAATTCTTTATGTGCCTTTCATGAATGATGTTGTTTTCATTAATTTTACCAATGGAAGATCTGTAATGTCCTGTTGTGAAGCTATGTATGAAAAATTCAAATACATTATAAATAAATTTGAATCATAAGAAATATGGTTTAAAAAGCCACAAAGAAGCACATATTGGTGATCATCATTGATGAATTATTGAACTTTATTCTGTGTAATTGTGTTACTAATAAATCCTAATAAATTTAAATTTTTAAAATTTTACAAACAATGTGTTATGTTAAGAATTGTCAATTTATCCTATATCAATTTTCTTTCTCGATACATTTAAAGATTATTTCATCTGTACTAGAAGCTTGAGTGTTCCTGACCCAAGTATTCTTGAGATGTTACATTTGGAACTGTCTGCTTAACATTGACTTTGGAGAATTCATTGCCTACGTCAGCTTAGAATGACCAACGCCAAATTCACCATTCTTCTCCCTTCAATACGGCTTTCACTGCAGACAAAGTCCCTAGGTGGTGCAAGTGGTCCGTAGTCCACTGCTAATTCCAGAAGAAAGGCCTGGTTGTCTGCTTCCAAGATTTCATTGCCTTTGAGTTGCTTTCTACTTTCCAGGGATCGCATTGGACAACGTACTTCTGCCTTAGAGGGTTCCAAGGCTGTGAGCGATCTGTATGGAAGCAGACTGCCACACCTTTCTGTTAGGGGCCAAATCTGAAACCACTGTGCCATTATAAACCAGGGCTCCATCTTCCTCAAGACTGTAGCCACAAAAGCCTCTTCCTCTCTAACACGTGACCACAGTGAGTTGGAATCTACTTGAGAGCAAGTAATAATGATACATTTAATCCCTCAAGTAGGGAACTTCTTAGCCATTATTAACTCTTATCTCCCATCTCCATCTCTACTAGACTACCATGTGCTGAAAGTTCTACTTTTTTAATCCATAGACAGGGCCTTTTTAATTTTTGATTTTCTTTCTGTTCCAACTACAGCCTTCTAAACTTATATTGGTGCTTAAGTTATACTTGAAATGGCTTATTAAATTCCCCAACTCATTTCTCCCTCCTATCATTCAGATCAATTATCTTAGTTTAGAACTGCTGATATGTTGCCTTTTATACATTGATTTCCATTGGCTGTGACATAAATTTACCTTAGCCTTACATTCAGGTCTCTTTGCCCTCTAGCCACACCCCAATCGTTCCCCACTAATGCCGTACACTGTGGGATTTCCTTCAAGCCCTGTAGTACATATAAGGTTAAATTAAAAAATATTGCAACAAAATCAGAGAAACAATTAAAATATTGAGCTGTGAAGCTATTGTCTCCACCTATCCTCCAGCCATGTCTACACTTTCAATCTCTAGCCCTCCCCTCCCCCCCCTCCCCGATTCTGACTTATTTGACATGGACTACATAGGAGAGTTTTGACATCCTTGAGGGATTCAGATCATGCCCCTTTTAAATATTCTTTGAGTTGGAAGACTGAAAGGAACTCTGAAGAGGTAAGATCGGTAGTACAGGGTGGACAGGCTATGGTTTCCCACTGGAATTCTCAGGACTTTCCTTACTACCATCAGAGAATGAGCAAGTATGATGTCATACGGGAAATATTTCCTTGGTGCAGTTTACCTGGACTTTATGAATGCAATTTTCAATCTTTTTAACATTTCTTTATAATTAGCCCCTGAGATCATCTTGGGTTCTTCAAGAATATGTATCAAGATTATCCCTTTAATATTCCTTAAAATCATTGCCATAATCTCAACTGCATTCTATACCTTGAATTTAACTGAACCAGCCGACCTCCTTGGAAGCCGCTGTTGGAACTGAACATTTTTCTCTCTTCTGAAGGTGCCTTAAGGAGACTAAGTAAATATATTATTAAGAGAACTTTGTCTTTAGCCACCCACGGATTGCCCACACATGCTTAAAGCTTTTGCTTGGAATAAACTCGTGTACATATGAATGAACTATTGTGAATCATTGACTATAGCAAGCCCTTTAAACATTTTTTTCAGCTGGGTACAGTGTACTATTTTGATGACACATGACGAGATTGGGCTAGCGAAGCTCCTCCCCTTCTTCAGGGGCCTCTAGGTGGAAACCCAAGATGATGGGATATTCTCAGTGTGTTGGAGGATTGATTTTGGGACAAGACTCCCCAGCAGCTGAAGGCTTCTCTCTTTCTAGTGCAGCGCTTCTCAACCTGGGTTGTGACCCCTTTGGGGGTCGAATGACCCTTTCACAGGGGTCGCCCGATTCATAACAGTAGCAAAACTACAATTATGAAATAGCAATGAAAATAAGTTTATGGTTGGGGTCACCAGAACACGAGGAACTGTATGAAAAGGTCAAGGCATTAGGAAGGTTGAGAAACACTCCCTAGTGCTTTTGCTGGGGCTGGTGGTGAAGGGGGCCTCGTATTCCTTGGAGGCCATGTGAATCCTGAGGTTCAATACTAGTCCCAGCATCAAGGTAGAAGAGTGGGTATCACTGTTGAAGTCACAGGAGACAACCTGGTCCTCAGTGTAACCTGGGGTTCTCTTTAGGGGATCATTGGGTGCCTGCTTCACCACCTTATTGATGTCATCATACTGAGCAGCTTTCTCCAGACAGCAGGTAAGATCCATGACCAACACATTGGGCGTGGGGACACAAAAGGGTATAAAAATGGGTTTCCCATTCAGCTCTGGGATAACTTTGCCCACAGCCTTGCAGTAGCAGTAGATACAAAGATACTGTTCTTGGCAGCCCCACAGGGCAGTTTCCCAGAGAGACCATCCACCATCTTCTGGGTGGCAGTGATGGCATGGACTGTGGTCATGAGACCCTCCATGATGCCAGAGTTGTCATGGATGACCTTGGCCAGGAGGACCAAGTAGTTGGTGTTGCAGGAGGCAATATTGACAATCCTGACGGAGTCACGCCCATACAAACATGGGGACATCGACCAAAAGGGCAGAAATTATCACCCTTTTAATACTACCACCCTTCAAGTGAGCCCCAGGCTTCTCCATGGTTGTGAAGACATCGATGGACTCTATGACATTCTCTGCACAAGCTTCTCCCCACTAATGCTGGTAGGATCTCGCTCCTGAAAGATGGAGATGGACTCCCATTGAAGATAAGCTTTGCGTTTTCAGCCACTGAACTTGCCATGGGTGGAATCATACTGGAACATGTGAGCCATGCTGTTCAGGTCAATGAAAGGGTCATTGTTGGCAACAATGTCCACTTTGCCAGAGTTGAAAGCAGCCCTGGTGACCAGGAGCCCAATGACCAGGAGTCCAAATTCCGTTTACCCCCACCTTCACCAGCGTGTGTCTGGGATGCTGCTGCGAGGCTGAATGGCGTGGGAAGATAGCTATACTATTTTCTTTGAAATTTTCCTTATGCAATGAACTTAAAATGATGCTTGGAACTTGGAAATGCTCATTTTTGTTGGCTAATGTTAGTTTTATTAGTTCCCAATTTTGTTGACAATAACTTCCTTAGATATAACTACATTTTTTATTCTTTAGTCTGCCCTTAAGGGAACTACGTGATTTGGAAAGAATAGAAGCCACATTCTTCATCCCCTCCAGTATAGATTCACACCTGACCAGTTACACAAGGACACTGCAAAGAGCTCATGGGAAAATGAATTAAAAGATAAAAATAAGAAGTTTGATTTTTGTTCTCAGCCAAAATTTAGTTCATCAAAATCAAGACACTTGTAAGGTGCCCTTGAATTGGCTCTGACTGGTAATGACCCTGTGTACAACAGAACAACTCTGTCCTATCCTGTGCCATTCTCACCATCGTTCCAATGCCTGGCCCCGTTGTTGCAGCCACTGTGTCAATCCATCGTGTTAAGGGCCATTTTGACCACCTTTCAACTTTATCAAACATGACATCCTTCTCCAGGGACTGGTCTCTCTAGACAATATGTCCCAAACATGTAAGATCAAGTCTTGCCATTCTTGCCTCCAAGGAGTACTCTGGCCATACTTCTCCCAATACAGGTGGGTTTGTACTTTTATCAGCCCATGTTTTTTTATATATTTTTCTCCAGTTATAAAATGTCTGTAGGCATAGCATCAAAGTTCCATAGGTTAATTATAGTTAGTAATTTAGATTTTTTTTCTTACTTCAATTTTAGGAGACTTCATGATTTTTGATAGGGGCACTGTGTTAGTCTAGAGAAACAAACCCGTGGACACACATATGTGTATAAGAAAGGGATTTATATACAAGAACAATTGAACATTGAGAAAACATCCCAGCCCAGTGCAGATCAAGTCCATAAGTCTGATATTAGACCATATGTCTGACACCAATCCATAAAGTCCTCCTCAGACTCACGAAACACATGCATGACGCCGAATGTAGAAGAGCACAGACCAGTGGGTAGACAGTCTTTGGATCCAGGGTCATTGGAAACATCTCAGCACTTGCAGGGGTCTCTGCATCAGGGTGGGTCCAAGTGTCTTGTCAGCTGCTATGTCTTCCAGGGTGTCAGCAGAGAGAGAAGTGTCTCCCGCCTCCAAGGAGGAAGTACCAGATTTCCCAGAATTCTCAGGAGAAGGCCACGCCCACACAGAGGCCGCATTGGCTATGGTCTGATTGATAAACTAGACTCCATCCCTACACTCTTAATCCTCAAACTGACAAACGATTTCATATCTACCACTGGCACTTTTCAAACCGATGACATCCTTCTTACCACTTCAGACATGTTATAACAAACTAGTACAACCTTATTTTGCTGGAAAAAAATCTCAAAACCATGTATAGTTTTTCATAATACACATTTTCCATGAACATTCTGAAGACCCCTCATGTCCATGGTGACTGGTCAACTGGCTGAAACTAATCAATCATATACCCAGTTCCCATTTCTGAAGTCCCTACAGCTCTTCTAGTCTCCAAAACGTACTCATTCCAGTACTCATCTGAAAAGATATTTTATGCTTGGTTATTTCAGCAGGTTAAATTTCTTACTGAAACGAACAAAACATATATGAAGTAGATTCAGAAAGTTCATGGGAACATTTCATTGTCTTGAAATTCAAGATTTCTATATGTTTTGAAGCCTTGAATATTTTTACCCTCCTGGTATCACTACTCTCTTTATAGGTCCTGATGGGTTTATCTGTCCTGAATTCCCTGTGTTTTGAGCTCTTATCTGTACCAGTATATATGCTCTGGTCATGAAAGTGGTGGGGGAGATGAAGCATTAAAGAACTCGAGGAAAGTTGTATGTTTCGTCGGTGCTATAC